TTTTTTTCTTTTCTTTTTTTATAAACCATAATAACATATCTAAGAATAATGAAAAAAGAAAGTTTAAAATGTAAAAATATAAAATAATTAATCAATACAATCCCTCACTACATTTTTTATGTGTGCCACACATAAAGCACACCACACATAAAAAGATCACATATAAAAACATCCACAAACACAAACACAAACACAAACACAAACACATACACATTTAAACAAAGGAAAAGATAAATCTCTAATCATATTGAATCAAATCAAAAAAAGTAAAAAGAAAGACATAGAGTATCCATTTAATTTATCATATATATATATATAATGGCATTATTCATAATATAAAATTAAATTAATACCCTTTCTCTCAAACGATAAAATAATATAAATCAACACCTCAAATTTTTAATATTTTTATTTTCCAACACACATAAAAACACATACACACAATTTTTTTTTTTTTTTAAAAAATAATTTTAAAAAATTAATTTTTTATTTTTCAAAAAAAATTTTTAATATTTTTTTTTTATTTTTTTTTTTTATTTTTTTTAAATTATTTTTTGTTGTTGTTTCTTTATATTTTTTTTCCACACTAAAATATAATTCTCTAAATTTTTTTTTTTTTTAAAATAAAGAGTTTATTAACATTTATTTAAAATATTATATTATAGACTTTTAAAAAATGAATCCAGATTAGTAAGTTACATATTTATATTATATACATAATAATAATAATAATAATAATATGGGCAACAAATAATAAATTTATGTGGAGAGAAATTTTTTTTTTTTTGGTTTATATTACTTTTTGAAAAAAAGTAAAAAGAAATAGTTATAAAATAGTTGTTTTCAATGTATGGTGCATACAGTACAGCATATTTAGCCATTCAATAAAAAAAAAAAAAGATGTAAAATTTTAGACGAACGACAAAATTTTAATTTTACAAATCCAATATATAGTATAATAAATACAGATTTTAGAAAATAATGGTTTGGATTTATTTTAGGTCACAAGCTGATACAACTATAGTTAACTTATTTTTTCTAAAATAAACCAAATTAAAAATTTCACAATATATTAAGTTTTAGGCATATATAATAGTAATAATATTTAATAATAGTAATAATATTTAATAATATCAATAAATACCAATAAATAGCAATAGTTATCAGTTATAAATGATGATAACAGTAATAATTCATAATATAATAGAGTTTTAAACTAATATAAAATATTATTATTATTATATAGTCACTATCTCTTCAAATTACTTTTAATTGGTGATTCAGGTGTTGGTAAATCATGTTTATTATTACGTTTTGCTGATGATACCTATTCAGAATCATTTATTTCAACTATTGGTGTCGATTTCAAAATTAGAACTATTGAATTAAACGGTAAAACTATTAAATTACAAATTTGGGATACAGCTGGTCAAGAACGTTTTAGAACCATCACATCATCATATTATCGTGGCGCCCATGGTATCATTGTTGTACGTAGAAATTTCTTTTTCATTTTTTTTTAGAAAAAATAAAAATATTAATATTTTCATTTTTAAAATATTAGGTATACGATGTTACAGATAAATTAACTTTCGAAAATGTTAGACAATGGTTACAAGAAATCGATAGATTCGCATGCGAAAATGTTAACAAACTTTTAGTTGGTAATAAGAGTGATCTTGTTGCTAAAAAAGTTGTCGATTACAATACTGCCAAAGCATTCGCCGATTCACTCCAAATCCCATTCCTCGAAACCTCTGCTAAACAATCAACCAATGTTGAACAAGCTTTCATGACAATGGCAACTGAAATTAAAAATAGATTAACTGCCTCCCAACCAACCCAAACCCCAGATAAAAATAAGGTTGTACCAGGCCAATCAGCTCCAATCTCAACAAAATCTGGTTGCTGTTAAATTATTTATCATCCTTCAATATTTCATACATTCACCCACCCACCACCGCATACACCAACCCACAACCCAATTAAAATAATATCATTATAGTTTTCATTTTTTTTTTATCTCAATTTTAATACTTTTCTCAATTCATTCTATTTTTTATATCTTTTATTTTATAGCTATATATCCAATCCCCTTCAAATAATCTTTTTTTTTTTTTAATAACCAAATGTTAATATTGTACAATACCATTTATTTTTTCCTAATTAGAAAAAATAAAAAAAGTTTTAAAAAAATTAAATATTATTAAATTAATAATTTTAAAAAATACAATTTAACAAAATAAACGCTTATATACACCACAAATTAAAAAAATAAAAATAAAAAAAATTATATACATATAGTAGGTTATAAAAAAAAAAAAGAAAAGGAAAAGTATTATAATACAAAGAAAAAAAAAAAAGAAAACAATTAATTTTATATAACCGCACAACTCAAACATAATATATTTTGTTGTATAAACATCTCTTTTTTTTTTCAACTTCCCAAAAAAAAAAAATAAAATAAAAAAAAAAAAATAAAAAAATCCTTTTAAAAAAAAAAAGCCATTAATATACATATACATATGTGTAATATGTTGAGTTCCAAAAATATTTTCTTTATTTCATTCTTTTTTTCTATCTCTTTTTTTTTCTCTATGAGTCATTGTTTTTTTTTAAAATTTTTTATTATTTTTTAAAAAAATTTTTTTTTTTTTTTTAAAAATATATTTAAAAAAAAAAAAAAGCTATATATAAGTTTTTTTTTTTTTTTGGACTTAGTAAAAAGCAATATTTGCAAATATATTGTACATATAGACATTACCATAACACTATATAGATATGAAGTTAAATGAACCAGAATTTATAGATAGTGCTAAAACAGAATTTACAATCAAAAAATGCACAACTCCATTATTATTAAAGAATTTTAAAAGTTTATTTCCAAATGAATTAAAGGCGTTAATAGACCAAAATGGTGACGAGAATATAGGTTGTTTAAATGACGATAATAAAACACCATTATATTTAATTTTGTGTTGGAGACAAACCAAATTACCAATGTCTGGTTTTTCATCTGCAACCGATGAAGAAAGAGAAGAAAAATCATTATTTGTATGTATTTTTTTATAGTTATTTAAATAGATACTAGTATATATACTTATTTTTTTATTATTTATTTTATTAGTTTATCGAAACTGCTTCAAATTTTTGTAATATAGTCAAAGAAAATGGTTATTGGAGTGATTTTATCGATCCATTATCAGGTGTCCCAGTAATTATCAAATTATAATTATATATATAAATTAAAAATGAAAAAAACTACTAACCAATTCATTTTCATTAAACATATATAGTATATAAATAGAGACAATGCAAATTCAGTTTTTGTACCAACAGACTCAGTTCAAATGATGGGTATTGATATTATAGATGTAGGTTGTTGCCAAGTAATGATACATCCAACTTGGAAAGTTAGATCATTTTTTTCAATAATGATTTCAACTGCACCATTTGAAATTATAGACAATTCATTACACCAAATTAATAATTAAAGAAAACATCATATATAATAATAATAAAATATAATTCAAAAAATTTGTATATAATAATAATAAACAATAATAAGTATATCTTTACGAAAAAAAAAAAGCTTTTTTAATAAAATTAATAAATTTATATAAATATATGTATATATATATCAAAATAAATTTAATTTATACCAAAAAAAAATAAAATAAAACAAAACATTAAAATGACACTAAAATGACACTTTTATTAAAACTGATAGATTTACAATTTTAATGAAAAATTTGGTAAATTTAATGAAAAAACACATCTCTGGTAAATTTTATGAAAACTCGTCTCTGGTAAATTTTTTTTTATTTTTCATTTTTTTTTGCTTATAAACACACAGATAAAAACAAAACAAAACATACACACAATTTTTTTATTTTTTATTTAATTTTTTGGATTTATTTATTTTTTTTTTGGTATGTTATTTTAATGGTTTTAATCAAAAAAGTATAAATAATTTAAACAGGAAAATGGTTTTAAATATGAAGATAAAAATAAAAATAAAATTTTTTTAACAGACAATAATTATCTGTAAATTTTTTGTTTTCGTTTTTTTTTTTTTTTAATTTTTAAATTTTTTTAAAAAATTTATTTTTTTCATATTTAATTTTTTTTTTTTTTTTAATTTTCATATTTACAAATCTTGCACATAGCAACAACAATTAATTTATAATATTTATTTGTTTTTTTTTTTTTTTTAATAATAAATAGATATAATATTAAATATATAAAATTACAAACAATGAACACCCTTATTAGACGTAGTTTAAATTTTAACCGTGCTTTTGTTGTAAGTATAGATTCTTTTTTGCGATCAATTACTAATTGCGAAAATTTACTAATTATTTTATTTATATTAATCTATAAATAGAGAGCATCAACAAACAGCATTGGTAATAAATCATCATCATATAGTATTAGACATTTCACAACTGAAAATAAAGAAGCTACACCAGAAGCTGAAAAGAAACCAGAAGAAGAAAAAAAAGAAAGTTCAGAAGATATTATTAAAAAGTTACAAGAAGAATTAGAAGAAACCAAAAAACAATTATTATATACCGCTGCTGACAGAGAAAATGTACGTAGATTCGGAAAAGAAGAAATGGAAAAAGCAAAGAAGTTTGGTATTCAATCATTCACCAAAGAACTCTTAGAAGTTGTTGATCAATTAGAAATGGCCACTTCACAATTCCCAGAAGAAAAATTAGCTGCTAATAAAGAATTAAAAGATCTTCACGAAGGTGTTAAAATGACAGAAAATTTATTTTTAAAGATTATGGGCAAACAAGGTTTAGTTCGTTTTAATCCAGTTGGTGAAAAATTCGATTTCAATAGTCATCATGCAATCTATGAAATTGATGATCCATCCAAAAGAACCAGGTACCATTGGTAATGTTGTTAAACAAGGTTATAAATTACCCGATAGATTAGTAAGACCAGCTATGGTTGGTGTTATCAAAGGCAAAAAATAAAATAAATAAAAAACTATAAAATAAAACAAAACAAATAAAATAAAAACCACCTGTTAAATTTAAATTTAAAATTGATTTTAAATTTAAAAAAATAAATATAAATATGTCATAATATACATATTTATATATAAAAAAAAACTATACTGTACTCTGCAAGTAACTTTATTTTTAAAAAAAACTTTTTTTATTTAAAATGTTTTAACTTTGGTTGGATTGAATGTAAACATTCTAATGATAAAATCTAATAAAGTTAAAGTGAAGTGAATAAAAGAAAAATTACAAACTAATAAGAGCCAAAGAGCTGGTAATCCAGAAGGTTGTGGTACAAATTGATAGAGAAGGTGGCAAACGATCATACCAACAATGTTTAAAGCATACCAGTATTTTGAGTATTGTTCAACGTTGATTTTTAATAAGCTTGAGATAATCGATGTAATTGATTTTGATGATGCCATTGTCTTATTTGATGTGGTTTTTGGATCTGATGAGAGTTTATTGAGGTCATTTGAACTGACACCATTTAAATTATTAAATGATTTTAAAATTTCATTTTTATATTGATAACCAAATACAATAAAGAAAACCATTATGGAGATGTATGGAATTATTAAACCATCTTTAAATAATAATGGGAACATACTGAATGTTGAAATTACACTAAACCACCACACTGTATTTGGATGATGTAAAATTAACAATGATACGGGTAATAATGGTAATAATATGGTCTTTTCGTGTACTTGGAATGAAAATAAAAAGAATGAAAATGAACTATTAATTAATGAATATAAAAATATAAATTTACTATTTTTATTCTTAAATAAATTAATAAATAATGGTATCATTGTAGCTAAGGTTAAAATTAAACTATAAAAAAAAGTATTAGTAAAAATGATAGTAAAAAATATGATGAAATGATAATTACCATAATTTAATTAAAACTTCTGTAGAAAATAGTTTTTTCATATTTATAAATACTGAAATAAAACACCAAAAGTTTGCTACTTTATCTTCAAACAAACCTCTGGAGAATGGGAATAATCTAAATAAAACCTGTGATGCTTGCTCGATTGATAAAAATGGTATCCAGCAGATTATAAAAGTTGCAATAACAACTAAACCAATTTTTAAAATTTTAAAAAATGAAGAAAATCTGAGTTTATAAACAAAATATGTTAGTAGCAATAATAATAACATTGTGTAAAAAATGTGTAAATCACTTACAATTTTGAAAAACTAAATTCTAAATTTGAAAATAATAAATAGAAAAAGAATGCTGGTGCGTAATATAAAGACATTTGCTTATAGTTTAATGAGAGTACAAAGAAAATGCTAGCTAAAAGTTGTTGATCTCTAATAATGAATGTAATTGCGAATAATGCTAAACCTAAACTAACTCCATTATACTGAAAGTGTCCATGATCTATTAAAAGTAATCCTGGTTGAAGTGATATAAATAAAAATGCACCAATTTTTTGGGTGATGGTTTTATCTTTATAAAATGATGTTACAAAAAACCAAACTGAAGGAATCCAAATAATTAAGTCTGATACTATAACAGTTGCTCTCATAAATAATTTGCTTGTGGGTGTTTCATAACCTCTTGAAGTATATAATTCCATTGATGCAGGTTCAACGATTTCTCCTCTATTATTTTTAAAAAGTAAATAACTATTCCTATTCATATATATGAAAATAAAAAGAGTTTACTTACATTTTACCATATACCCAACTAAGATAGGCTGTTAAAGGTGGATAGTCTAAACCCCAATATAATAAATTGTTATCAGTGGTATTAAAGTACCACTCATGTACATCTAATTTGGTTGTGATCTCCATCCAATGTCTTTGGGCTTCATAATCACCAAACATTGGTGGTTTACCTTGACCTGAATAGCTATTTAATGAAACTAAATATCTTGCAAGTAACGAAACCACTATCATTAATAAAAATAATGATATCTTTACATTTGTACTTAGTGATTTTGTTTTTAGTAACATTTTATAAATAATCATTATTTTATCATTATAAAAAAAAAATGCATTATACAATATTTTTAAAAAAAAATTAAAAAAAAATGAAAAAAATGATGATTTTTTTATAAAAAAAAAGGCAAATAATTTTCAATATTTTACTTTTAAGTAAAATATCATCATCAAAAGATAAAGAATTTGTTTTATCAAATCTTAGCTCAATTCCAAAATAATTAAAATAACAACCACCATCACCCATTTCATCATCAATTTCATAAGCCTCATCACCAATTACTTTGTAAGCATCAACCTCATTATTATCAAATTTAACTCAGCATGATGATATTGAGATTAAAAAATATAAAAAAAAAAAATGGAAGCTAGAAATGACACATTGGTAATAGAAATTTTAAAACAGTTTAACATTTTGATATGATCGATAATGATTGTGGTGGCGTCATAAAAGCTTACGAATTTATATTTTATATTTTATAATTGTAAAAATATAATTTCAATAATAAAGAAACAATACCCCATAATCAAGTGGTTATATAAAATTAAAAAAAATTTAATATTTATTTTAAAAATAGATGTTCAAACTTTACCCCCAATAAAGTTTAAAAAATAAAACTTTTTTTTTTTTTTCAAGTAAATACCTATTTTTAACACAATAAATAAATATTTTTTTAAATCTTTGAAATCTTTAAAAAAAAAAAAACAAAAGAAGATAATTTGTAAATTGGTAAAAAATTTTTAATATTAAAAAAAAAACAGTTTCATCAGAAAATTTGTATAAATAGTTTTTTTTTTCTTTTTTTTTTTATTAAATAAATTAAAGTTAAAAGTTAAATAAAATGGCTACAGTAAGTGATGTATGTAAAAAAATTGAAGAGGATATTGTATGTATATAATTTATAGTTTTAATTTAGTTTTATTTAATTAAAAAAATATATCTAACAGATTATTATATTTATAGGAAAGCATGTTGCAAAAATATGACAAAAATGGAGACAAAAGTTTAACTCGTGGTGAAATAGTTGAATCCCTATCTCAAATTAATGCAAGAAACCCACTTAAAACCGCTCTATTGATCTTTAAACGTTTGGATACCAATAGAGGTAACAAAATAATATATTTATTTATAATTTAATTAATTATAAGTTGTTAATTAAATTTTAATTTTTGTAATTGCAGATGGCACCATTTCAATTAATGAAATTAGAAATAATGCTACTCAACTAAATCAAAAAAATTTAGAAGATGCTATAAGACGTGAAGTAACCCAAATTTTAGATAATCATGACAAAAATGGGGACCAAAAAATCACACTTGATGAAATGGTTGAAAGCTTGATTAAAACATCAAACTTGGATAAAGAGAGTAAGTTTTCAAATTTATAATTTAAATAATTAAAAAAAAATAAAACTAACTAGTATTTTATTTATTAGCTGCTAGAGAAACTGCAGATATATATTTTTATGAAATAGATACTGATAAAGATGGAGTTTTGACTGTTGATGAGCTTAAAAAAGTAAGAAATAGATTATTATATTTTAATTATACTTTGAAAATTCTAATTTAATTTTTAAAATTTTTTATTACTTTTAGTATTGCGGCTCCTTAGCAAATCCACAACAATAGCTGATTGTTTTGAAATTAAAAAATCACTTTTAAGGTGAATAATATTAATTAATAAAAAACATAAATATACATAAATGTATATGCTTAATAAAATTTTATTTTTTATTTAAATTTTTTTTTACCCAAACATATTTAATTTTTGTTTTCGAATAGAATATAGCATTCTGTATCGATATATAGTTTTTGGTTTTTATTTATTTGAAATTTTCTGTGGGTACCAGTAAGCTTGATAGATTTGGTTAGATCTTCGCTTTCAAAAATGCAATCAAATTGGGATTCATAGGTATGATTATCCCCTAGAATGGTTTCGCCTGAATATATTTTTAATGTTTTTGATTGATAGTCAATAATGCCACCATATATAATATTATTGAAAATGAGTTTTACAGCTTTGCCTATAATTAATAGTGATCCTTTTTCATTATCTTTTTTTTTTTTTTTAAAAAAATTAATAATTTTTGGTTTGAATATCAGAAAAAAAATAACACTTACATAGAATCGAGTAGTTTGAATTTTTGAATCGGTCTAGCAATATTTGGTTCTTCTTTAATATTGGATCGAAAATTTCAAGTTCATAATTAATATTCACCAGTTTAGGATTTTTTAAACCTTTTTCTTTTATTTCGTACATTTTAAAAGGATATACTTCACTTTCATTTATTGGTTCACTTGTTTTATTTATATCTATTGTTGATTCTTGAAAAAGAGAATGAGGAATTTGGTTTGAAATGATTTTATAAATTGAGTCTATTTTAAATGAAGAGAAATTTGTATTTGGTGATTCTGATTTGTCAAGTAATTTATCGTTCATTTTATTCCTTAAATATAACATATCTTCCCACATACCCAAAAAAGCAGATGTTTCATAAGCTAAAGAAACTATAGTTGCAGTTCTTACATCATTTGAAATTCCATCTTTGGTAAATGTAAATCCCTCTCCTTCTAGTTTTTTAAGTGTGTTTACAAAATTTTTAACTTCGTCATATAGTTTGGGTAATAAATAAAGTGTTGATAAACCAAATTGAAGCTTTAGTTGTGTAAAACCATTTGATAGTTTCCATATTTTTTCAAAGATTTCTATATTACATTTCTTTTATAAATAAAATTAGTAATTAAATATATATGAAAAGGTTATATATGATTTTTATATGTACCAATGGTGTTTTATTTTTGGATATTTCGAATAAATAAAGAAGAGATGCTGCTTGAGTTCTTTCATTTGGTTCTATTTCATTTTCATTACAATCTAATATTTTTTTTTGTAGGTTTAATATTTCTTCTGAATGAGGGATATATGGTGAATAAGAATTGAAATGTTTTTTTATATATTGTGAATAGTGCAGATAGTCGATATCTAAAGTTTTAACATTAATATTGCTTATAGGAGGTGTTGATTTATCATTTATTGTTGTGTAATAGTTTATATTTCTATTATTATTTAAAACTGAAATATTTAACACCTCTTTTTTTATTTTATGTTTTAAAATGTTATTTTTGATGGTTATTTTATTTAAATTTTTCAACTTTTTTTAAAAAAATAAAATAATAAATATCCAAAAAAAAAAAAAAAAAATCATTTTAAAAAAATTATTTTATAAAAAAATTAAAACCTTTAAGTGTCAAAGAAAAAATTTTTAAATGTGGTTTTGAGTTAAAATAAATATATTATAAAAATATTTATTTATTTTAAAGTTTATTTAAAATTTTTTAGTTAATTGATTTATTATTTATTATTTATTATTTATATTCTTTGATTTATAATTAAGCTTGAACAACTTTGAGTTTTGGACAATTTTGACGCAACAAAATTCATGGAGGAGCACTTTATGACATTCACATTGAGATAATATATAATTTTCCCTAATAGTTTATACCTTGAACTAAATACCCATTACTACACATATAACAAGGACCTCTTTCTTTTTTATTTTCATCAATATATTTTAAAAATTTTAACATAATTTTTTATTGTAATCGATGTTGTTATTTCTAATTCCTAATTCCTAATTGCAACTGTACATACCATTGATTCATATTATAAAAAATCATCAAAAAATAATATGGGAAAAATTAAAAAAAAAACAAGTTAGAGTTTTTTTTTTTGGTTTTTTTTTTTTTGAATTTTTTTTTGAATTCATCATGATGATAATATTTTATGAAAAAAAGGTAAATCATATTTATTTAGAAAAAATAATTTTTTTATTGTTTTAAAATTTTTTTTTTCCATTTTTGAAATTTTTATTTTTAATTTATAATTTATCAAAAATAAAAGTATTGGATTTAAAATTACAAACCACTTTTAAGTTTCCAATAAATTAAAATGTGGACTTAAAAATTTTTTTGAAATTTGTTTTAAGTCACCCAAAAAATTTTTTTAATAATTTAATTTTTTTTTTTTTAATTTTTTTAATTTTTTTTCACAAAAATCTTATTATTAAAAATTAAATCGTGCTCAGTGTAAATTTATATATAAAATTTATTGTTTTTAATAATAAATAAATTATAAATAATTGTTTTAAAAAACTAAATTTAAATACTAAATAATGATATATAATCAACAATATGATATCAAATGCTTAGATCATCCCAAGCAAAATATAATTTCAATATGTTCAACTTGTCCAAACAACACTCCTGTATGTATTGGTTGTATTACAGGTATACACAATGGTCATAAGTTTAAAAGCATTGAGGATGATAATGTTAGATATCAAATACAACAAGATATTAATAATCAAATATTACCAAATCTACACAACTCTTTAGAAAATAATAAAAAAAAATTGGATGAATCAAAAAACCACTTTAAACAAATTCAAGAGAACAATACAAATAATTATAAAAAAACTTTTGATATATTTAAGGAATTAAAAGATATTATCAATGCAAAAGAAAATGAAATCAAATTATTATTATTAACTAAATCAGAGGAAAATATAGAAGTAAATAATATAATACCAACAAGAATAGAAAACAATATTAACAGAATTAATAATGCAATTACTTATAGTAGTGTAACCGATTATAATAATATTGATGGATTTATTGAACTTTTAAAACACATTCATCAATGTTGCAATCTTTTACCAAATATAAATAATAATGACTTACCAGAGTATAGGGATACTCAATTAATAATTAAACAAAATAATCTCAACTCAATCAAAGATCTAAATTATATAGAAGTAGTTGATTATATTGCTTTAAAAACACTAAAATGTAAGTTCTAACATTAAATTTTTTATTTTAATTTATACTAATTATACTTAAATTTATTCTTTTTAATAAAGTATTTACACTTTATGAAGGGTATGATATTAGTCATTTAGAAATTCCCACAACAGCTACACGTTTAGCTTTACCTAATGGCTTTGATCAACCACTTGATTTTATACCACCCACCATAAATTCTTTGCTTTTAGAAAACATCAAGTATCAATTAAAACCTGACTCAATTCCAAAAACAGTTAAACATTTATATTTAAAAGGTAGTTTTGATCAACCACTTGATTTTATACCACCCACCGTAGAATGGTTGTATTTGGAAAACATCAAGTATCAATTAAAACCTGATTCAATTCCAACAACAGTTAAAAATTTAGTTTTACTAGATGGTTTTGATCAACCATTTGATTTTATACCACCCACCGTAGTATGTTTGCATATAGAAAACATCGAGTATCAAATAGAACCTGATTCAATTCCAAAAACAGTTAAACATTTAGCTTTACAAGATGGTTTTGATCAACCACTTGATTTTATACCACCCACCGTAGAATGGTTGTATTTGGAAAACATCAAGTATCAATTAAAACCTGATTCAATTCCAAAAACAGTTAAACATTTATATTTAAAAGGTAGTTTTGATCAACCACTTGATTTTATACCACCCACCGTAGAATACTTGTATTTAGAAAACATCAAGTATCAATTAAAACCTGATTCAATTCCAACAACAGTTAAATATTTAACTTTACAAGATGGTTTTGATCAACCACTTGATTTTATACCACCCACCGTAGAATGGTTGAATTTGAAAAACATCAAGTATCAATTAAAACCTGATTCAATTCCAAAAACAGTAC